TATTTTAACAGTGAGTGAATATGAAAGAGAACAAACAAATGTTTAACAATTGCCGTTTATGACAAAACTGAAACTTACTATTATACATTGAACCGATCAACGCTATCTCGAGAGGGATGAACCGTGAGAGGTTCAAGTGTTCTGGAATGCAACCACTTTCCTGGTTGCAAGGGTGGTACGAGACATAAGAAAAGAAAAGAGTGAAGAAAATATCAATTAACTGAACTCTTACCGTACAAATACGTTTCGGAATTATTGAACAAATTCATGGAAACTGGATTTGTTAACAATAAAAAGCATAACCGTTCAGGATTTGTCAACGATGAAGCTATTTGTACAGTTTTGAGGCACGTTGAACTAATGTAAAATTCCCAATCTCTTACTAAGTTATCTCGAGAATCAGGAATCAGTCGTACAAATGTTTTCTTCATAAGTACAAATTTCATCCATATAAGATTGGACTAGTTCATGAATTGAACGAAGATGATTTCGATAGACGTATCTAGTTTTGTGAGAGTATCACTGACCGGATCAACTTGCATCAGAATTTCTCGTATAAAATTTGTTTTCCTGATGAATGTACGTTTAATTTGAATGGAGAGGTGAATTGATAAAATTGTCGATATTGGAGTGATACGAATCCTCATATATACCGTCAAGTTCATACCCAACGGCCTCAAAAACTGAATGTTCAGGCAGGAATTTGAGGTGACCACATCATAGTTTTCATCGATGATAATTTGACTAGTAATAAATATTTCGAAATGTTGGAGAATCGAATAATACCGTGCATCCATAGGACATTTGAGGAGGATATACATTTATTCGAAAGCGAAATAGTTTTTCAGCAGGATGGTGCACCTCCAAATTATGCAGTTCCAGTGCGACACTCATTTTCCTGGTCGCTGGATTGACATAAGAGGTCCTACAGAATGGCCACCAAGGTCTCCGGATCTCACTCCTGTGGATTTCTTTCTATCGGTTTGTTTAAAGTCCCAAGTGTATGAGATAGAATCATCAACATTAGAAAATTTGAGAGAGAATATTATGAGGCATTGCAGAGAAATAACTCAAACCGAGATTCTCAAACATGTGAACATTTACTATAGAAAATTGTTTTCTTCTCATTGTCCAATAATGAGATTTTGATTCAAGAATTATTGAAATATCTATTTTTCTGATTCATTGCTAACATATTTGTCTCTAGAACGAAAATTTCTAAATGTGGCCTGCTGTACAATTGTTGACCTGTTTTTTTTTTTCCTAAAAATCATTGTTTCAAAAGTTATTCAGGGTGGCTCGTTTTGAATGGAATACACTGTATAAATAGATAGGCTTTCTGAAAAATTCCAAATATCATATAAACATTGATCCCTGATAGAAATTTCAGGTTTCCCAACCCTTTCATACCATTCAACCCTTACACAAATCCAACTGCCTCTGTACCGCGAACATTTGCATACAATTTTACTGTAACTTCCAAAACTGACTGTGACTTCGGAAATTGAAAGATATAAACTCATTTTTCATGCAATATAATAAATTATTTATTATTGAAGGACCGGCGATATCATTTTGTAGTGACGTTCATTCTTTCCAATCATCTAAAAGAACAATTCGTTCAGGCCAGTCTCAACACCCTACACAGTAGGTTAATGGACTGACACCTATCAGAAAACAACAACTCCCCTGGCTAATACCACGAAGGGCGTTGGATTATATCCGACAGGTGTCAGTGCAGGATTCTTCACTGAAATTATTCCTGCATATGCTGTTGGCGATACAACTTTCAGTAACTTATTGTATTTGATGATTTTGTTTATCAAAAAAGGGCTGAGGAACTATACAGACTTGTCTCAACGTTCCGGAGGCTAGATTCAACTCCGTCTTGCAGTTATTTTCAAAATTCTCCTACAGATGTCAAAGGAGTTCTGGAATATAGAATATGTCAATGATTTTTATTGACTTCTGAAAGCATGTTCATAGTTTCTGCCGCTTTTTCTTCAACACGGTTTACTGTATTAGATCTGGTTTCTGAAATGTTGCCTTTATTTTCGAAACACAAAAATGTCATATGGAGTCAGATCTGGTGAAAAAGATGGATGTTCCAACACAAGGATTCAAAGCTCGGCTGAAAGAGAAAGTTTTAAAATATGTTTTTTCCGTTAACCAACGAACGATAACCCTCAGAAGTCGAAACTTGTGCGAGCTAAGGACTAACGACATCTACCGTTCAACGTGTGATTCCTAACATGGAAAATCATTCAACATTAGGTGCTGTTTGGACTGTAGCATTGTCTATGACTTCTTTCACAACTGAGCAATCTAGTGTCGTCCAACTGGCTGAAAGTGAAGCCAGCCCCTTTATTTATGATATAACTTAAATAATACTTCTTTGCAGAATTGTTTTTGCTAGGAAGTTGAAATCCACCTCAATTTCATGAATGAGTAATTTGATACAACTAAAGAGATGGTCGATATTCAGTTCGTTATTTTTTCTTATAAGCTGTTTGAATCTGCCCAGGTACCTATGAGTGACAGTGTTTTGTTTGGTAATTGCAATCCGCGAGGTATTATTTTCAAAAAATATCACAAAAATTTCATAATCGTATATGGAATACAAAAAAATACAAACTACACAAAATATGTTTGACCTGTGCACCACCTGATTCAACAAATATGGAATATCTCTCAGATAACATAGAAAAAAAAATAAATTCATATCAGGGTTCGAGCTGACTTCGGGCTCCTGTTTCCTATCCTTCTCTGAGCATAAGGATCATTGAGATGCTGGGTTACAATCAGCGAAATATACAAAGTAGCATAATTTTGTTACCATATGATTTTTGGACGGTCGGATAAAGTTTTTAGCGGAAAATTCCAATATAATGGTTGTACCAGTGTGAAAATTTGGCCCAATTCGGTATCTGACTGTTGTGTTGCTGATGAGGTTATTTGAGACAGGTGTTTTTCCCGACGCTTTCAAATATGCGAAAGAAATTCCAGTTTTCAAGAAGGGGGACCCATGTTCTCTGGACAATTACAGGTCCATACCTATCTATCATCTCTATTTTTTCCAAAGTAGTTGAAATCATAGTGAAAAAGCGTCTGTATAATTACTTAGAGAGGTACAACTTCTTTTCTCAGGGTCAATATGGGTTTCGCAGAAATCGTTTCTACTTCTCTAGCTGTCTTTGATGTTGTTGAATCTATTGTTTTAGGGTTCGAGAAGGGTGTGTACACTGTCATAATGCTTTTTTATTTGTCTAAGGCTTTTCATTGTGTATCACACAGTATTCTTCTTGAAATATTGTATTATTATGAAGTTAGAGGGGTATCTCTATCACTCATAGAATCATACCTTTCAAATAGGTATCAGGCGGTTTCATGTAATGATGTTACATCAAACTTTGAACCTGTTGTTCCACAAGGTTCGATACTTGGGCCCCTGCTCTTTGTTATTTATGTTATTGACATATGTAATTTCATGTCTCCTTATAAGTCCATTCTGTATGCAGATGATAAAACTTTGATATATAGCGATCAATCATCATTTAACATTCCACAAGTAATGAAAGAAGTTGAAAATCAAGCCAACACTTGGTTTCTAGCAAATAAATTGAAGATGAATAGTGACAAAACTCAAAGACTTGATTGAGTTCGCCACTGTAAGTTCAGTTAACAAAAGTGTAAAATTACTTGGCATTTCTCTCGACAGTACTTTATTTTGGCATCAACATACAGATCTTCTCGCAAATAAACTATCTAGTGCAATATATATCCTTCGTCAACTGCAAAACATCACAAGCGGTGAGATTCTGGAAATGATGTATTTTGCATTATTACACTCACATATCAGCTACGGTGTTGTTCTTTGGGGGGAATTCTCCTGGTTCGATGATAATTTTCAAACTACAGAAAAAAAACTGTGAAAATACTGGCAACGGCAGGTTTACGGGAGCACTGTAGACCATTATTCAAAAAATTACGTATCATGCCGTTGCCAACATTATACAGTGAGCACCATATGTAACGGATAAATTCATTTTCTACGTTACTAGCCATTTTCAAGAAAAACCCTGAAACACGTCGAATTATGCATTCAAAAAGACACTCTGTGACATAAAAAAATCCCCCCTTCACCCCCTCAACGTGACAACCACCCCCCAATTTTTTTAAATGCAAAAGGGGGTCAAGTGATACATTATTTTCAAGGGTATTCAATTTTCTGTAAAGCCATATCTCCATTTTTTAATTGCATGCATGCGTCATAATAAAACAAAAAATTCAAAATGTTGAACCTTGCACCTTAAATTTTTTGTTTGTTTTCACCAACCGTTGTTTATCAGCCGTGACAGTTGAGTGAAAAATTATGACAGGGATGCTCAAATAGGGTGTGCATTTTTTTGAGGTGCCATTTCGAAAACTAAAGTAGGGAATTATTCCTGAAAAATGTTTGGCATGATGTTTATGATGTTCTCAGAAGGGCATTTCGACATCTCTCCAATTTATCCTGTTCCCATTTGTCTTCTTCTGATTGGAATATCGTGTGTTAACAAAATACTGCCAGATCCTGATATGTCAAAGTGTTCGGAGTGAAATGAAGACTCAAACAAATTGGAAATTTCGGGATGGTGCCATTTCAAAAAATTGAGTTGAGTGAAATATCTCAATAAATACAATAAATTCAACGGTTTCAAACACTATCTCAGAAGGGCAGTCCGACATTTTTCTATACCCCTTCTTTGCATTCCTCTACTTCTCTGAGAAGGTTCTGGGACATCCTATATCTGAACTTTTTCCACCCCCTGAAATTTGAGTTATTACTTATAGATATCCTGTGACAAAGTATCTTCAAATCAGTTTTGATGTGTTTGCTCTTATTTGGAATTTTTCAATAACAGTACTAAATTAAATATCGAAACCTTTATCGAAAACATATTTTTCAAATAAAGAAAACGTTAATCAGGTACTTAATGGACATTTGTTATGTGAATTAGAAACACTTGAACATTCATTGATAAATGATTTTCAAGCGCTTGAAACAGTATATAAATGACTAGACATGAATATATTTTCATTGGTTTACTCTCTAGTGATTCAACTTGAAAAAAAGGTGAGTGAAGTTGCAAATCTATCCTGGTCATTCATTTTTTACTTTTCTACTCTCTATAGATTTGTAAGAGAAATAAAAACTGTAATGCAGCATTTTATCAAGGATTTCTTATAGAAGGGTGTAGTTTCCATTTCACTTAATGAGTTACTGCTTCAACCATTCATGTTATATTTGTGGTTTTTTAAGTTTCGAACATATCAAAAAGTATTGATTAAATATTGAAAGCAAACCACAGTACGGTTCTTGAGTAAATGCGTAATTCTGTCATCCTATTACATAAAATGAACATCGACAAAAGATACGATTTGTCAATAAACTAGCCGCATTTATGATACTTTACACAAAAAATACTACATCGGCGAACTCGTGGATCTAAAAGTAATTCAGATAAATCGATGAAATTACGGAATCACAATCAAACTAAACATAGATGGAAGTGTCAGTAATCCTATGACTGTTACTCACGGCATGCCCCAAAAAAAGAGTCTCAAGAACCGTCCCATTCATTATTCACGAATAGTCTTCGCCTTGAACTTAAGGAAAAGTCAGTCGTTGTACTGATGATGACGTTATCACTTCTGAAACTTTCCCTCAAACCTAAAAATGAAATCTGATGATGACGTTGACAAAATAACGATTGATTGAGATACAATACTCCCACCTTCAACTTTTAAGACGAGATACTGACCTTTCACTTGAATAAACTGCCAAACATCACGTTTCGGAATGAATAGGAAATATTTGAAGAAGCTTGTATTAATTTCTTAGACATTGTAATGGATCATAATTTAATATAAGATTTATAAATATCCACACATCGCCAAAATTCTTGGACCCCCTTATGTTTGTTTAAATGAGACACTATCATTCAAATCAAGAAATGTATTACATAGTACATTTAATTTGGTAATGTAACCTGAATTTAATTAATGTTACTGAATTTAATTTTAACACAAGTGTGGCCACAAGTGTGAATTGCGGAAGGGTGCTAGGAGGTTTAATTATGTTTGAGATTGCTCGTTTAACGAAATCCCACATGTGTTCAATGGGATTTATGTCTGGTGAATTTGCTAGCCACGGTGATCTTTGAATATTCTCAATCTCCAGTGCACACTTCTCGTGTGATGGGGCCTAGCATTGTCATCCATAAAAGTGAAATTGGCTCCAATTTCATTTCGGGTTCAATAATGTTTCGAACATATCTATTCCCTGTCATACTATCTGGAATGGGAATAAGCTGCGTACGACGACTATGCATTATGCCTCCCCAAAACATTACTGATCCTCCTTGGTATGGAAGGGCTTCCCTAGCAAAATATAGACCATGTTATCGGGAAGAATAGCCATATTTTGGTGTAATCTGGAGTACCACATTGATGAAGTTTGGACTCTCTTTCCCCTTTATAGTTTGTCAACGATAAAGTCTCCAGAGTCGTCAATTCATGTTCACTTTATGCAGATGATTTCAACATTTTGCTTAAATTGAGGACATAAACGACTATCTTCACGAAAATAAAATTCTTGAATAATTCTCAACTGATAATTCGAATTTTAATTTAATTCGATGCTATATAATATCTCATACATTATACTTAGTGATAAGCAAATGACTGACGTGGGCATGGTTTACTCATTAGTATAACACAAATAAAATGGTTTGTGAAACAATTGATATTTTTAAAAAACTTATGAATTCAATGTCATTAATCGTATCAAATATGTCTAGAACAAGTTGATGCTCGGTAAATTGAAATAGGTCTTGGTGAAATGGAATCACTCAACTCGTTCTGCCAAAAAAGTTCCGAAACTTTCTATTCTATGCCCTCTAAGAAAGTTCTGCAAGTAATGTGTGGCGAGTAATGTATGGACTTCCATTGTCTAATATAATATACATTGATTTGAAATCCCTGAAAGAATCTGTAAAAAATCAAAAAGATTAAAAACTGAAATTACAATGAAATGAAATACAAGCAAAAACTAAAAAATCAAAGAATTGAAGGATTAACATGACATGAAAATTAAAAAAGTATTAACAAGAAATGAAGATTGAAAATTAAAAGATTCCAAACCAAGTAACTCCACGACGTTTCGATTGTTAGTATCCACAATCGTCTTCGGGTGATAACTGGGTAAAAAACTAAAAAGATTAGCCTATTCCCTGAAGCAAAGTCCACTCTCTTTTCCTTATCGGAATGAATCGAATCTATCTTTGACTGAAAATGTATGTTGAAAAACAGTTTCAAATGTTGAAGTGGTTCACGCGCATTCCGTCACCTGAAGCATTTTCAGTTGGAACTCAAAAGTAACGGATGGTCACGAAGGAAGTACGAATATACTGAGCGTCTCATTTCTGAATTTCATTTATAAGTGATGTATTTTGAATAGCTACGAAAAGTTTCGTACGACTGTTACACCATCCGAAAAATCCTGTTTATCTGGTTGTACTGATCATTCTACTTAGTTGCAGTACAGTATATGCAGAAGTGAATACCTTTTCAGTCATTATTAGCCGAGGGAGTAGTTGCAGATATTTACCAGAACCTACGGTGTAGATAGTTGGGGGAGATGAATATTTCGACATATTATTTCGAAACATTTATTTTCTAGTACTCCTTCATTGTTCAAATCGTCATTTTCACGCAATATCCCATGATTGATATGATTGTTACATTTCAACTAATGGGTAATCTGAAATATATTATGAATTAAAACAGTTTGAATTAATTAACTTCATAACTGATTTTACAGTGCATATTCATCGTGTTCTTCCTCTATCTTTCAGGCCAAAAGCAAATGTTTTTTTCTATATACATAACTTGAATAAAAAAAGGGACTTTCATTTTGTAACGATTAGGTGTCAACATGGTGGGCGGGTCTAACGCATCTCTCAATACTTGTAATAAATGCAAGAGTTCTATTGTTGAACAAGTAATGAAATGTGAAAATTGTGAAAAGGTTTACCACCCAAGTTGTGCCAATCAAAAAAGGTAAAAATAATTGGCAATAATTAGACCAACTGTTGTGTGAATAGTGATATGGAAAACTTTTTCGATGCTGTGGACATTCAAAACTATGATAAGGTAGACTTCTCTTTATTTAGGTACATGATAAATCAAAAAGACGTTATAATCCACGAATTGCATGAAAAAATTAAAATATTGAATGAACATATCAGTCTATTGAAAAAGATGAATGGAGCTCCATCTATACCAAGCCAAGACAACCAGAATCCATGTGTGCCAATTTCAGTCGATACAAAAAGCATCAACAACGACAAAACAGTGGATTCTTATCCCAGTGGAAAAAAGAATATAGACTCAAATAAAACAAAACAAACAGTTATTAGTCACCGGCAGGTGTCTGATGGGATCGCCCATGTTGAAAAAGCGATGACAATGGGGAATCTCATCAATATGAATACTGAAAAGATTATAAACCCGGCATTATCGGGCGAATGTAGCACTTCTAATACAAATATACCACAGCAGCAATGGAAGGATGTCGTGGGCAGAAAGCGAAGCCGTCGTATGATAGTCGGGAACAATAAAGAAAAAGGTCATGTTAAAGGAGTGCCCAGCACATTCACTTACATGTATACAGAATCGATCCTAGCACCTCAGCTCGCAATCTTGAGGAATTATTAGGAATCAGTTTCCCCGAAGTTGAATGTGAATGTATCACCCCTAAATATCCCAGTGTATATAATTCATTTAAAGTGACAATATTTGTCACTGAAGGAGACAAACAAGCAAAATTTGAAAGAAAGAGATAAACAAATTGAAATCTTGAATAAAGAGATAGAACAGTTGAAGCAAGCGAAAGATCCAAATTATTCGTGGAAGGAAATGCTGGATGAAATGAATGAGAGGATGAATAAGGTGAACAATGTAATGGTTTACAATGTTCCTGAGTCTACATCAGCGAGTTTAACTAGAAGGATTGAAAATGATAAAACTGAAATCCAAAAGGTTTTCACCATCGTAGAGACGGAAGAGTTAACAAATGACATGGTGAAGGTAATACGTATTGGAAGAGCAGGTGGTAATAAGCCACGTCCTATCAAACTAATGTTCTCTAATAATAATGCGGTCAAAGACTTACAGAAGAACAAGAAAAAGTTGCATAACTCTTCGATCAAGATAAATAATGATCTTACAAAAATGCAAAGAAGAGTAAATACCGATACGTGGAATGAATTCAAACAAAGGAAAGACAGTGGGGAAGATATCTTCATAAGATATAGAAACGGCATGGCAGTTATAGAGGAAAACAAAGGTAGAAAAAACTAAATACACCTCCATTACGAGTCTACTATCAAAACGTTGGTGGAATACGTACTGAAATCCAGGAACTTTCAAATGCAGTGTTAAGTTCTGATTGTGATATTTTAATATTAGTGGAGAGCTGGTTAACCAGTGATATTTTGGATTCAGAGATAAAAATTCCATCATATAGTAGTTTTAGATATGACAGAAATATAGTAACTAGTGGTAAATCCAGAGAGGGTGAATATTAATTTTTATTAAAAACTCTATTAATAGTTCACAGATTGTTCCACTATATGAGTCTGTTGAACAGCTATACATCTTATGCAATGTTGGAAATGTAAAATTTGTTATAGGAGGGGCCTACATTCCCCCTCAATCATAGGAAAATATTTATGAAGAGCATTGTATAACAATAGAAAATGTTGTTAATACTCATCTGGGCATAATATTCTTGTTTTTGGTGACTTCAATCAACCGGAAGCACTGTGGAATAACAATGCTTCGGAGGTAACAGTAAAGTGTCCTGTCAGATCTAATGCTTTGTTACTAGCAGAATCATATGGTTATTCAATTTTTTTTCAAAAAAACGGTATCCCTAATAATAGAAACGTGTTTTTGGATTTATGTTTCACTAATTTGAATGATCTGGAAATATACTCTGCTACAGATAATATTTTAGCTAACAGCTACCATCATATTGATTACACATTCAATGTTTCTGTACCAATTTCTTCGAAATCTCTAGAATACTGTGAATTTTATAATGATTTTAGAAATGCTGATTACATAGGTTTAAATAATTATTTTGCAGGAATAGATTGGGAAAGCTGTTTAAATTTTTCGAATGTAAATGAAGCATTAGAATCTTTCTACCATATTTTGAATATGTCTTTGTCGTTGTTTGTTCCACGAAAAAAGTTTAAAACTTCTACATATTCTGGCGGATATGTTCTATATTCCTTTCTGTTGGAGTTCTCTTGGTGTTTGTGTATTTCTGTGGCTTCTGAATACATTATTGTTGAATAATAAATAATGTTAAATATTGATTCTCGGCATTTTCGAAAAGGATCTTGCGTTCCCCGTCGGACAGTGCATATTCAAGAAATACTTTATACTTCTAGGTCTGTTCCAATCGGCAACTCCGCTTGTGCTCGACTAGGCGAATACCAACGCTTCCTTTCGTTTGACCGATATAAACTTCACACAGTAACGTGGAATCCTGGTCGAGTGTGAATAGGTGTGAGCCACAATAAACCCTTGCAGGTTGCGGTGGAGGATCAAATAGACCCAGTCACTTTGGACCTAACCTAACTTAACCTAAACTCCTGCTGATTTGAGTGGATCTCTGCTTCGATATTCTTTTCGTTGAATTGAAGACAGTGTTGATTCTCCTTCTTTAGAATTCTCCCGATTCGGTTGGTGACACCTTCTATGTATGACAGATAGACAGTGCCTTGGGGTAGCTCTTCACTGGTGGAACACCAGTGAAGAGCAACTTCTTCCTTGGACGCGTAGCGCCAATTATGTCTTTTCTGTCGTAGCCGTTCGCTTGTAACACAGTTTTATTTCGTCGTCGACGTACTTTTCTTCACATCATCTCAAAGTTCTGTTCACTAGGGTGTTGACGGTTCGTTTCTGTTTTGGATGATGGTTGGATCCATAATGTAGGTATCGATCTGTGTGTGTTTTCTTCCTGTACACCTCATGTCCTAGTTGTTTATCTTCCTTGGTGACTAAAATACCAAGTCATCAAGAAAGGTAATTTCAAAGAAGAAGAAAATCAACATCGTTTTCAAAACAACGAAGTAAATATCGGAGTATCTGATATCAGCAAATCAGCGGGAGTTTACAGAACTTCATGTAACTGTGGTGAAGTCTTCATCGGTCAGACGAAAAGAAGCATTGTTTAGGATTAGATTAGATCCAAAGTGAGTGGCTCTATTCGACCCTCTACCACAACTAGCAAGGTTTATTGTGGCTCATACATTTTCACACTCGACCAAATAAACCCAGCTTCTCAACGAAGCCGATTAGTTTGTATGGTGAGTGGTCTTTCAGGTCTGATAGCAAGAGTAAGGCTGTGCCGAACTCTAAAAACCTGATTCGGTCCCCAGCGAGGCAGACACAAAGTATAGGCTCTACTGTTTCATTATTTAAAAAACAGAGGCAACACACACTGTCTTCCAACAGTCCGAGTCTCTGCATATGATGATTCAAATGACAGTGACCTGTAAGAAGGCCTGCCATCGTGTTCATCCCTACTGTAGTTCAACAACTGTTTGGTATCCAAATTCGAAGGGTGAATAAACGCCTTGGAGTGAGCCAATTCTGGATGATTCTGCCAGAAGTCCATGAATCCTTTTGTTATCCAGGTGTTCAATCTTCATTTGGCAAAGCCTAAAGCGATGCCAATGACAGGTTATGGTCCGATGAAGCTGCTTGAGGCACCCTCCTTTGCAAGGAAGTCAGCAGCCTCATTGCCTTTCAGGACAGTATGGCCAGAAATCCAGACCAGAGACAATCTGTTGAGTCTTCTATTTGAAGAAAGTCGTCTTTGGCAATTTGCTACCAATTTAGACGTTGCTCAGTAGGAACCAAGAGCTTCCAACACCGCTTGACTGCCCGAGAATATTTTTATTGACTTGTGTATGAGGTTAGATTCTTTAAATCTCTCACAAGCGAGGTTACCGATTGGAACAGACCGAGAAGTCTGCAGTAGCTAAACATGCACTGTCAGAAGGGAAACACACGATTCTGTTCGAAAATACCGAGAGGCTAGCAACGTCGAATCATTATTCAACAAGAATGTATTTAGCCATAGAAATACACAAACACCAAGAGAACTTCAACAGAAAAGAATAGAGAACTTTTCTACCAAAGATCTGATACACAACATTGAAAAGCGCCAAAACGAAGCCAAATCGCGCGGGAAGTTTGTGCAAACTCACCATTAGTGAAAGAAATGAGAGCTTCAGTTTCTGTTGATACGTGACGGAAAGAACTTCGACTACACAGTTGCAGTTGAAAAGTTTGGAAATTGTAACCAAAAAAATCACGGAAACCCACTAAAACAAATTCTGTATTATCAGATAGCCAAGGGGCGAGATTTTTAGTCGTTCTGATAAATTCAAAAAGACCATATTCATTGCAGGTTTCAATCAGGAAAGTTGATTACATCTTCAACTATCAACTTATCTAAAATATTTGATGAATCGATAGGATGTAGATCATTTCAGAAGTGAGAATAATTACTAATTATAATGTGAAAGGACCATTTCTCATCTCTTTTGATGCATCGGAAACAACTAAAACGTGCTTCTAGAAGAGTATTGCATTTCATTATTACAAAACAAAGCTTTCCACCAGCAATTGAGGATGATATTCATATATCAAGATGGAGTAGTAGAAAGCCAAAAACTATCTTTCCCAAAAATTAATCACTCCTAAAAATATAACCCCTTCAATTCAAATATTCATAGACTCTCAATAGTAGATTAATGGCAGTACTGATTCTCTTCAACATTATAATCGATTGTATCATGTAGGTATAAGAAATGCCAAGGTTACTTTCCTTTCAACTCAAACTTGATAGAGAGATGTATCACAAAACTTCCCATGCCATCAGAATAAGTGAACGGTAGCTACATTCCTTTCTGAGTAACAGGTGGGGTCAAGTTTTCATTTGAATCTCTATTCCAAATTTGATCTTACGCCCATAAGTTAATTGAAACACATCTAAAATTTGAATTATAAAATCACTTACAGGAATACCCAAGATGAGGATAGCCTTCTGTTTTGTAGTTATTGCCGTTTCGGGAGCTCTCTCCTACGGTATTGACTCAAATCCATTTTCCGATGAATTCATAGACTACATCAACAGCCAACAAAGCTCATGGAAAGCTGGCAGGAATTTTGACAAAGACACTCCACTGTCTCACATTCGTAGTTTACTTGGGGCCCTCGAATCCCCTGAACCCAGATCAATGAGTGACGTCGTTGTCCACAGCGAAGACACCCCAATTCCAGAATTCTTCGATGCCCGTGAACAGTGGCCCAAATGCGAAATTATCAACGTCATCAGGGATCAGTCTTCATGTGGTTCATGCTGGGTAAGAGTTTATAATACTACTCGGATATAATATCTTACGTATTTTGATTTCGGGTATTTTTCGGTATGTTATCATCTGGTTTCAAGCCTCTCGCAGAGGTTCTTGAAATATTTTTCTAACGTCTTCTACTTCAAACATAGATATTTTGATAACACTAATTCTTGGAATGCTGACGATTTTTCTGTAAACTAATATGTGGATGAATTTTGAGTGGATGGAGAAATATAGGCTGTCTATTTCACTAATACAGTTATATATTCCATTGTTTTTTTTGTTGGAACAGCACTACAGGAAAATCCTCGAGATGCTCTGAGAGCCGTTCCTATGCGAAAGTAGCGATTCACGTTAGATTTGAATCGCTGAAGATCAAATTCGTTTTGAAAAACGTTCTCAAGAAGTTTATTCCACATAGAATCTCAAAACAATGCGCAGTTAAGGTCTGTCGCGTATTTATGATATCTACCGCTCATGGTGGAATCTGACGTGCCAAGTCATTTGAACACCTTCCGTGAAAGTATCTATGAAAGAATGACAAATCTCCAACCTTTGTTCCATGTTCTAGAATTCTAGACTATCAAGGTTGCAAGTGATGTTCTCGTCACCAATCAGGCGGATGTCTCTTTTCTGGCTGGAATCCAGCAGATTGAGGGTATGCTTACGATCGGAGATCCATACATGAGAACAAAACCCCAATGAAGATCTAATCTGAGCTTTATACAGGCTGAGGTGTGTACAGTCTTTTGTTTCGGAACAGTGTTTCAAGCTTTTGAGAAACAACCTTTATAATTTCAGCGACATGATTGTGCTGATACATATTGGTGTCCATTTCAACCTCAGACAAACTCATCACAGCAGAAAGTGGATTCCTCTGTCCTGACATTATTATATCCGGTTCGGAGACATTTATTTTTCTGGAGAGAACCAATGCATGGATTTTCGTGGCATTGAATTGAACTTAGGTACTTTAACTTCTATTAGGTAACACCTCTAGATCCTCATTAAGGTATGCAACTTCCTGCTGCTGGTAAAGATGTGCATCTGCTGTCGATGTCCTGGAATCCAAATGGAATGACGTCAACAAAGCAATATATTTGATTATTTTCAAATAAGTCATTGTAGACAATGGAAAGAGGGTTCTAGACAATATGGTTCCCTGGGGAAAACCAGCGTTGATGGTTAAAGTATTCCAGAGATATATATCGACGGGAAAAACTAAGAGCGTGGTTCAAACAGAACTAGCTGGTATCTCAATCGTCACAAAAAAATAACCAGGAAACGAATTTCTGGCAAAAACATAACAATCTGCACTGAAAGCAGATAAGCCCTATTAGCCTTGAACAGACAACGTGTTATCTCAGATTTAGCCAAAGCTTCGGTAGATAATAACATGATCCTGAGGTGTATTGAAGGGCACGACAGGAGTAAAGGTAATCGCATTTCCTACTCTTTAGCCAAGGAAGCGGCTGGACTAAGAATTTTAAGACCCAGTGGCACCTACAGCCTGATGACTTCAACAATTGCGGATCGAGCCAAACATCACACCCATTCTCAACCCCTGAACAGATGGGACGAAATCAAAGGATGCAATCTTGCCAGGATCATCCTTGGCGATCCTAGGAAGCTGTCTTCGAAGACATATCTGGCGTTGACCAGGGAAAATTCACGCTTAACAGTAGGATTTCTGACTGGCTACTGTCAACTAAGGAAACACCCCCACAATATGGGGGTGTTTCCTATGCAGGATGTGTGAACAGGAAGATGAAACTGTCAAGCATATCCTATGTGAATGTCAGGAGTTATCGTCAATAAGAGAGTGTGTGTTCGGCGAGTCTTGGCCTACACCTGCCGATATAAAGGAGATGTCTTCCAGAGACTCGTCCACCTTCCTGAAAAGGACAGGATGGACGATGAACTAGGAGGACAACTCCTCGGAAGGATGTACAATGGGTCACATGTGGCCTAAGTGCTGTGGGCCTACACTCACCCCCACTACTCTACAGATACAGATCCATCGACGGCCTCTTGCAGCAAACGTTCCTTCAGGAAGCTGGAGAGTCATGCAAAAAAATTATCCGGCAAGTCATAGGCATTGACGTTTTGCCAGCAAACCCTCGTGCCGCACACGATCAAAGGACTTAGAAATATCAAGCACAATAGATCTTGAGTCTTCATGTTTGTCAATGGCGTTATTCGAAATATGGGTAACATACGGTAGGTCGCCTGTTGATCTTTGTTCCGAAAGCCATATTGATGATTGCTTAAGATGCTGAAGCCTTCCACGTATTTACGGCTTTCTCCATGATTTTTGATATCACTGATAGCGAAGCGACTGGTCTATATTTATTCGGAGGATTTTTCATGTCCCTTTTGGAAATAGGTTGAACGCGAGCAATCTTACAAAAAGAAAAAAAACCTTTTCTTGTAAGACAGGTTAAAAAGTCTGCGAATTACTGGTATGAGTTCATTGAAAGATTGATCTTCCTCCTGGAGATGACCACTTGGTGATAGGAACACGTGTCGAGGTGTTAAAATAACGGTTTGGCGTTGAGAAAAAACTGCAGTTATATTAATTACTACACCAAAGGTTCCAAACAGTACATTTGTGCATTGAAGTTTATACTTATTCACTGAATAGTTCATAAATAACAATTTCTCAACTTCAAACTTGAAAATTTTCAATTTCCAGTTGTACAACTTATTCCCAAGTCAAGAGCGCATAAAGATGTATCACATCAAAAAGCATACAGATACTTATCTGATCGTTTCTGAAGCCTGATTCTACTACCTCCTTAGAATCGGAAAAGCTGAATAAGTTACAATTGTTTCTTTCTTCGCTTCGTGTCATTCTCAAACTTCTTCGACTGATGTATTCTTGGAGTATGAGATGTCCTGGTTCTTTCAGCTCTGAGGTATAAATAAGAAGCTCATAATCAATGCAGCATGCTTGTTTACACACAAACCCTCTACTAGAACAATTTGATGAAATCCCAACTGATTTCATTCATTCAATACAAATGCATTCACCAAATTTTATCAATTAATTTTGCAGGCTGTTGCAGCAACTTCCGCTATGAGTGACAGGATTTGCATTCACTCGAATGGAGAAAAGCAAATATTTGTTTCAGAGGAAGACTTGATATCATGTTGCGGCATACTTTGTGGTTTGGGATGTCAAGGAGGATATCCTTTACAGGCCTGGATCTATTGGCAACTACAAGGTCTTGTTTCCGGAGGTCCTTATAATTCTACTACGGTAAGATACCATATGAGTATTTATGAAAAAATATCTTCCATCATATCACCTTTTGTGATTGATTTCTGAACAAGTTGGCAAAGTAGTGAATCAAGTTATTTATAATTATGAATACACTGACCTCACTTGAATCGAATCAATAACACCATTCATAATTAAAATACACTTCATTGTGAGATTTTAACTACACAGTTTTACAAAAACGTAACATGTGTTTCGCCATACAATAGATTCCTTAGGCGTGTCTTTAATAACTTGAATCTACATATTTGGAAAGTCTCTGGTTTGGGAGTTCACCTGCGTGGATACAGTTGCAGTTTCACACCTTGCCGCTACGTCTGATTCCACTGGTGCAGCTGCTGTGATTGCAGAAAAATCAAAATTTCGGAAATACTCCACTTTGCTGAGTTCCTACTGTTTCTTTCCTGTTGCTATTGAAACCTTTGGTGTTTTTGGATCTCATGAATTGTTGAAAGAAATTGGTAGAAGAATGATGAATTCTACCAGTGACAACCGAGCCTATTCATTTTTTATTCAAAGAATCAGTATCGCCATCCAAAGGGGTGATGTCACATCGATATTGGGTACTCTTCCGTCTTCTCAAAAATTAGATGAAATATTCCTGAACCCACAAATCAAATCAAAATTTCCTATGAATATCGCAAAATGGAGTAAGCAGATTAATCACTTCCCAATTGTCTCAGAAGATGCAGAGAAAAATAAACAAGTTCTGGAATTATCTTCCTCTACCAAATTCGAAAAAACCACCATCAATATATATGATTCAGTTTCAAGAAATTCAACTTCAAATTCCTCATTCCGTTGGTCCAATGATGGAAAGAATCATTGCATTCGTGATTACTGGAAAGAAAATAGCGGTGGCGAACGTATCACCAACAGCTACAACACAATTAGATCAGTGATAGGTTCCTCGGTCAAAACCCTTGGGCTTAATGGGTTGAAAAATATTGGCAACACCTGTTTCATAAACAGTGTAATCCAATGTTTATCCAGTACGAGATAGCTACTGGAATATTCGAAAAAAGATGAGTACATGAAAGATATCAATATCAATATTTCTAGTTCGGAGGGTGCTTAAATCAAAGCTTTTGCAGAAGTTATCAAGGAATTGTGGTCAGAAAATTCATTCGATAGAGCAGTCAACATAGTCTCCTTAAAAAGTCAGGTTCAGAGTTTTGCCCCTCGAATCATGGGTCATGCGCATCAAGACGCCCAGGAGTTCCTTCGTTATCTTTTAGAAGGTTTAAATGATGATGTTAATAGAATTATCGAGAAACCTAAACCGACCTTAATGGAGATTAACGAAAAATTGAGCGACAACGAAAAAGCACAAAAGTCATGGCTGATTTATTTGAGTACATATAACTCTAAGATTGTAGATAACTTCGTTGGTCAATTAAAATCCACGATGAAGTGCACACATTGTCGACACTGTAACCTTCGATCCTTTCTGGGTTTTGCCACTTTCCATACCAGAAAGAACTGACCAATTGAGTTTATCACCGTGCTTGGATTTCTTCACAAGAGAGGAAACTTTGGATGGACATGAAAAACCGACGTGTTCAAGTTGCAAAGAAAGAAGAAAATGCACAAAGTCTCTATCGATCCATAAGTTTCCCCATATTTTATTTATTCATTTTGAAAGATTTTCTCTAACAGAATGATTTAGAAGATTTAGAGGCAAGTTAAATGTTGCCATCAAATTTCCTCTGGATATGAACAATTATGCAGCAGATAATGTGACTCCTTGTCGCTATAGTCCATATGCACTTTCGAATCACAGTGGGTCTACCTACAGCGGACATTATACAGCATTCTGCAGACATCCTTATAATGGCACGTGGCACGAATACAATGATTCACAAGTGTCACCAATTTCACCAAAATCGCTTGTGAGTTGAGATGCATACATCCTCTTTTATGAAAAGGAGGAAACGAGTTCGCACCTTTGAGCGTTTTGTAAAGTTATTTTTGAACGGTTCATTTTGATGGTATGTATTATCTAGTTAAATGTTTAATTATTACAATTTGAGATGATTATCTAAAAACTGAAAATAAATCTACATACACGTTATATGTTTTTACAGTTCGAAGTACCTAAATTTCAAGTGTCTGAGTTTTTCCTAGCTAATTAATAGGAAGGTTTCTCCAAATGGATGTAATTGACTTGTAACGAGTTAGTAATTCTCGTCTTCTGACGAGTTTGTGAATCGTGCGTAGTGAGAGTGCAGGGATCTGTAAAAAGTATTTTTATTACAACCGCAGATATCCAGTCATGTTTACGACTCATTTGCAATACCTCACCTCCCTTTCATCGTTGCAAATATAAACTCTCGAACAAAAGTATTGCATATTTTATTTCAAGATTTTTTTCATGTTGATTTCGTTTTCCTTGAAACGTTATTTGTTTTTATTGATAAATGTTCAAAAGCCAAAGTATTTTACGTAAAATTCCATTCGGTATAGATGAAAGAATGCTTGGAATGCTGAATGAGTGAAATAATGGTACAAATTATAGACTTTGAAAAGTGTGCCTTTGCCGCTATTAATGTCTATTGTTTTGTTTATTGTTGTCAGAATGACATTTCGAGTACTTTATGTCTTGATTCTGTATTTTCTTAGTTACGCATTCAAAGAAGAAGATAATAATAATAATAATAACGATTTATTATTTACCATAACATAAAATATTATTCAGATCACATAATGAGGTAAATAAATGGATTACGTTAGATCTTAAAACCAATTCTTCCACATAAACCAGAACGAAAATAAATAATAAGTATTCAAAGAAGAAGATAATAATAATAATAATAACGATTTATTATTTACCATAACATGAAATATTATTCTGATCACATAATGAGGTAAATAAATGGATTATGTTAGGTCTTAAAACCAATTCTTCCACATAAACAACAAAAATAAATAATAATTTTCCAACTATAGATACACCAGGATATAAATAGAACTCGAATATACTTGAGGAAATATTCTAAAAAAAAAAATCTTGTTTCATTGCTTCTCAAACAAATGTTTTTTGGCATTTTTTTTGAAAGTGTGAATTGATTTAGAGAACTCGGGAACATCCAGGAGATTGCCGTGAAAAGATATCTGGTAGGTAAATGACCTTTTATAAATTTCTTTATTGTGTGCAGGAATATGGATCATATTTTTTCTCCGAAGATTGACGTTATGATATTGCGCCAAGATTGCATATCCATCAATCGACTATTTCTCGTATTGTAAAGCGATACAATGAGACTGGGGAGTACAAAAGGCGGCTTAGTCAAGGACGTAAGAGATTTACAATGCCAAAAGATGACCAATAACGATAGCTTTGGTGGTGGTTCCATTATGTTGTGGGGCGGCATCAGTTGGGACAGTCGCACCGAGCTTATAGAGGAGAATTTAAGAATTAATTCTGACTGGCACAAACGCAACATCCTTGAAAAGTATGTTTTTTTCTCACGGCGGCTTCATTGGGCACAACAATTTCGTGCTGATGCATGATACTGCTCGTGCACTTGCTGTAAGAACAGTCACCCAGTATCTTGAAGTTGTTGGACTTGAGGCAGTGGAATGACCACCAAACAGTCCTGACACAAATCCCATAGAACATATTTGGGACATCCTGAAAATACATATAGAAGAACTTTATTTCCAGATAGGCAAGCCTAATAATATCATAATTAATGTACTTTATGTGAATATGATACATAAAAATCAAAATAAATTAGTCTATTATAACCAAATAACAGAAAATCTCAAAAAAATAAAAAAAACTATATCACACATATTCTATATAGGATACACGTTTACATATTTACTTATATATTCATTCAAAACAAAGTCTTATTATTATATTTTAAGTATAAATTAGCTTTAATTCAGTTTATTGTTATGAATGTTACCAAGTCCCACTTGAATAGACGAAGAGAAGAAGAGTTTTTTATATTATTTGGCAGTTTATTAAAACTGTCCAATAATAACGAGTTCATACTGTTACGTGAATTTTTCCTTGGGATGTGAAAATTGGTGTTCAATCTAGTATCATGATGATGTGCTTCACTATTCGTGATTAAAAAGTTTACTAAGTATGTTGGTTGCAATTTATTTATTATTTTCAATATAAATATCATAGTTTGATACTACAGTCGTTGAGAGACATTAAGCCACTTTAAACTACAGAGCATAATATGTATAGGTGTTATTCTATTGCAAAGTAATATTCGCATTCCACGATTTTGCAATTTTTGTAATTGATTTGATTTGTTCTGATTCAAGAGATATAAAAGAGTCCNCCAATTTATATGTTTACTTAAGTTTGTACTTTGTTTGAATTTCTTATAAGCTATATCTCTTTCCTTTGCTTTGATTCTCAATTCACTATCATAGTATGGGACTTGATTTGATTTTATTTTAACAGTATGTTCTGGTGCTACCTGATCAACAATATCTAGACAGTTTTTTGTTATATTCTCCAATATCACATCAACGTTAACTGAATTCAAATTCAAGTTACAGGACAATAGCTCAATGTTTATGTTATGATAGGTATCTACGTTCATTTTTCTAATTTGCTTGAATGTTTCCCCTAACGTGATATTTGTTCTGGTGCTACCTGATCAACAATATCCAGACAGTTTTTTGTTATATTCTCCAATATCACATCAACGTTAACTGAATTCAAATTCAAGTTACAGGACAATAGCTCAATGTTTATGTGATGATAGGTATCTTCGTTCATTTTTCTAATTTGCTTGAATGTTTCCCCTGACGTGATATTTGTTCTGGTGCTACCTGATCAACAATCTCTAGACAGTTTTTTGTTATATTCTCCAATATCACATCAACGTTAACTGAATTCAAATTCCAGTTACAGGACAATAGCTCAATGTTTATGTTATGATAGCTATCTACGTTCATTTTTCTAATTTGCTTGAATGTTTCCCCTAACGTGATATTTGCATTACAGAAATTTACAGATATGATAGAGTGATCAGTTAGTTTTGGATTATCATGAACAATTGCTCGATTAGAATCAATATTTATTACAACATAATCTATAAGAGTAGAGCTATGCTGCGTACACCGTGTCTTTGTATTTACAATTTGATCTACTCCATACATATTAAATAAATGTTTGACCTATTTGGTATAGAAAAAAATCATCATCCTCATAGTCTATATTGAAGTCGCCAATCATCAGACATTTTTTTCCTATACGGGCATGAAATCCAGCTCCTAACTCAATTATAGAATCGGAAGTTGCTGCACAGGAAGAATGGAATTGGATTCCACAAGAAACTATCAGAAATGGGCATACTCCGTAAACCCCAGGAGGATGCAGACTATCGTTAGAGCTAGGGGGAAAACACTAAGTACTGAACTGTTGCTTCAAAGAAATTTCATTTTTTCGTCATTGTTGCTTGATCTGATTAAATATTATTACCAAATCTAGTCTATTTCATTGATTCTTCTACAAGTGTGTTATAAAATTTTAATGTCTGGATTATTTGGCAATCAATATACGTTAAATACTTCAGCATATACATTTTAGTAATGAAAACAGCATTAGACAAATTGAAATAAATATGAAAGCACGGCTCAAAATAAAATATGCATTATATTTGTCTTTGAGTGTATTTCAAGTGTTATTTCATTAAATGTTTCAGGGTTGTAAAGCTTACTCGATGTCGCCATGCGGGTACCATACAACTGGAAGCTATCCTCCATGTCCTGAAGGTCTGTATCCAACACCAGCATGCCATAAACAATGTGACGCGCATTCTCCTCTCTCCTATGCCTCTGACAAATCATATGGACAAAGTTCTTATTTCGTTAGTTCCAGAGAACAACAAATACAATTGGAAATCTTGAAAAACGGTCCGGTTGAGGCTACATTTAATGTATACGAAGATTTCGCTTCTTATAAGAGTGGTACGTATTCAAAAAAAAAATTATTGTGCGAATGAAAAAAAATGTGATTTTTGGGTATGGTGGAGCTTGTTTGTGTAGGTTTCCTGTATATTGCCATTTGAAATTGTGTTTTGTTGTGGTTATATCCTATGGTTATGTCTAGGTTATTAGGTTTTGAGTTGTGTTCTTCCTCAATGCTGAAACATAGTTATTGATTTATTTCGTTAATTTCCAAAAAATATTCAGGTAACTTCTGGATATTAATGATTCCCCGTATATCGCGTACTTCAAATTGTTGTTCATTAACATGCGAAAGACATTAAACCTAATTTTTTTTTCTGGCTTTTTTTGTGACGTGAGGATTTTCACTGAACCAATAATGACAATTTTCCTCATAGAAAATTCCTTCACTCGAAAATGTCGATTCATCAGTTCAAATAGTTTCTTCAAAAAATGGATCTTCTTGAATGCGTATCAACAACAAATCACAAAATTCAAACTGTTGAGGGTTTTGAGGCATCATTGTTTGAATGTATGATCATGAATTTTATGTCTTCGCAAGTTTCTTTGAACCCATGGGTATTTTTTACCCAAATTTTCTACATTATTTCTCATTGATGAATCAGGAAATGCGTGAAAATTGTGCTGAAACATCAATCTGGTTGTTTTCAGAAGTTACGGGTCATAGCAAGTTTCTTGATCCTTCTAAAGTTGATCCAGATGCATTGAAATTGTTCTGGAATTCGTATAAATTTTTTGAGGTTCATTTGCGGTAGATTCGGATACCTTTCGTTGAATTTTCTACATGGCTTTCTGATAATTTTATCACACTGTCCAAAAATAATGAACAAATATATAAGAACTTCATTTGAATAATTCAAACCCATCGTTCTGAAGGTATTTGAAATAGACAAAAATGTCAATATTATCAGATGAATTTCACAATATCACTGTCAAATAGCATTATAAACTTTCTTATAGAATACCGAATGAAAATAGCATTCCGAAGGGTCATTTTCACAAATAAGTGAATAAGTCTGAAACTTGACTAGTTACGTATATGCATGATATCACATAGAAAGAAAGCAAATTTTAACAACTTTCTGAATTTTTAATATCACACAGGATGTTGTGTTTGAAATAATCAACTTTCGGTCACTTTTTCAAGCAAACGAAAAAACTGTATTGTATTACCACCCTGTATTGAAGTAACAGAGATTACACTGAAGTGTAATCCAAATATCACCTAACTCCAAACCAAATTTTGTTACCATATTATTTCATTTATTAATTTTTCTATTTTCATGGAATTATTTTCCAGCAGCTTGACTGCATTAACCTTTCTCGATGTCTAATCATTTCTAGAAACACGTGGATTCGTTTTCCGATGGCATTCCAGGATAGCTTCCCAAATTTCTGCTATCGCAGTTATCGGTTAATTGGTCAAGCCACCAACATTGACATGAAAACTTGGCAAGTTGACTTGGGTGTCACACCAATAGGTGGTTCCACTTATGTCTCGCTTGGGTTTACGCAGTTATTTTCATCAAGTAATTTTCTTGGTTAGTCACATTTTGTCTTCAATCGAGAACCGCCCGCCCGGTACTGACGATGCCCAACAGGCTGAAACAGCTGTCTACCGGTGGCTCTTGAATAGTTTACAATTATTTTTCGAATATCTTTCCATCTTATCAAATAACAAAAATATTGTTTTGAAAAACTTTATGTGACACCCTGTATGTCAGAAGTAAGCGACAAATCCGTTGCTCGTCGACAAATGGCTATTTTGCGCACTCATTTTGGAACATTATATAGGGTGTTAATTAAGTATGTACCATAAATTTAACAGACGATTCTTTAAGTAATTTCAAGACGAGATATTCATATATACATGGGTCCCCAAATCCTTCGTTCTCAAAATACAGGGTGTTGAAAAAATTATTCGTAAATATCTTAAATATCCTTCACCTAATTTCGTTGTAATTTGTCGATGTGTTTATGACATCATGGAGCTGATTTAGCCCAAACGTGATTCAATTTATTAAGTCCAGTGGCGTCTCGAGCGGGATTTGAAAGAATATTCTTGACTTAAGAATGTACACCACTGACTTTTGTGCAATTTTTATTATTTCTTTGGATTGAACAATTAGAAATACAACTTTCTTGTCTCTTGATTTTTTTCGTATCCTGCTTAGAAAAAAAAGTCGATCTAATATGCATATCCCTGGACCTCACAAGGATTAATACGGGGAATCGAATGTTTCTTTTGGAAATCATTATTTTTACAATTTTTCATTATTAATTATGTAACAATAACAACAAATATTGAATAACATTAGCATCAAGACTAACGAATTGCACTAAATTAAGTGTTGGGAATGGCCTTCTTCAGCTGCAATACAACCGAATAGCCGCCGCATCATTGAATTTCGCACTCTTCTGAAAATACTTGGCGTATTTTTTATCATGTCACATGAATTAATGGTTTTATTTCGTAAATCCTCATCACTTTGAATAACAGTTTTGTTTACCAACGCTTCAAGGTGTCCCCAGAGAAAATAATTTGAGGGATTCATTTCTGGCGAGCGAGGTGGCCATGGGTATGGGCCTGCTCTCCCATTCCAGCGATTATGGTAATTTTAATCCGAAAATTACCTTGCCACTACACTAAAGTGTGGTGGAGCACCATCGTGTATGTACCACATACGGAATCCATGACTGGAATTTCTTTTAAAAGTCCAGGTAAAATAAGTTCTAAAAACCTTCGATATTCTTCTCCATTGAGTCTAGGTGGAAGGAAGTGTGGCCCAATGAGATGGTCACCGATAATTCCAACCCAAGTGTTAAAAGAAAACTGTTCTTGAAAATTATTTTCTATCAAGGCGTGTGGATTGTTTTCGGCCCAAATGTGATTATTGTGGAAGTTAATAATTGAATTGCGAGAAAAACAAGCTTCATTTGTAAACAATATTCGACTTAGGAAACCTGGATTTATTCTTATTTCACGGCGTAACCAATTAGAAAAAGCTAGTCTTACAGGCAAATCTCTGGGCAATAGAGATTGCACACGTTGCATGTGATAGGGATATAGCTGCTGGGCTCTTAAAATCTGCCACACTCTGACATGGGTAATATTCAGTTCTTCAGCTATTTTCCGAGTACTGGTATGAGGATTTACTTCAATCTCATTTAAAACAGCTTCTCCAATTTGAACTGTTCGTACCGTTGCAGGCGTCCCAATGACAACCGTCGATCTTTTAAAGCTGCCTGTTTCAGAAAGTCGTGCATGGAGACGTACAAAGTTCTTCTATTAGGCACTAAACGATGAGGAAATCTTTCATGGTAAATGCGTCTTGCAGCATTCGAGTTTCCTTGAGCTATTCCATTACAGAAATGCAAATCTGTCATTTCACTGTTAGTAAATTGAACCATGTTTTACAAAAATAACCGCTAAACACACTTTTTATAACAATTATAAATTAAAAGCATATAAAGTTGACAACAACTGTCAAGTTGTTCATTAAATGCTGCAATCGTTTTTCATGGCAACCCTTGATTATTATTTATGGTATTTTCAGAAGAGTGCGAAATTCAATGATGCGGCGGCGGCTAGCCGAAGGAGGCCATTTCCAACACTTAATTTAGTGCAATTCCTTGGTCTAGATGTTAGTGTTATTTAATATTTGTTGGTATTGTTACATAATCAGTAATGACAAACTGTAAAAATAATAATTTCCAAAAGAAACATTTAATTCCCCATATTATTCCTTGAGAGGTCCAGGGATTATTTAAACATTTCGTTTCAAAATTACCTAGAGAATCGTCTGTTGAATTTATGGTACATACTTAATTAACACCCTGCATACTGATGTGAAAGAAGAAATTATTATTTCTGGACTCCATGATTTATACGACGAATATGTAATTTATTTTTCATATTTAGGTGTTTATCATCACGTTGCTGGCTCCCATTATGGTGGACATGCTGTGAGACTCTTAGGTTGGGGAGTTGAAAATGGATCAAAGTATTGGTTAGTTGCAAATTCCTGGAGTGGAGACTGGGGTGACAAAGGCTATTTCAAGATACTCAGAGGGACAAATGAATGTCATATCGAAAATGGTATAGTTGCTGGATTGCCAAAATTATGAAGTGAAAAAATTTTTAAAATGCTTCAATTCATGTTCTCACAGTAGGTTGAATGATTTTTCAAAATGTACTATTAAAAATTTAAATGTAACGATGACAGATTATTTAGAATCCAAAGCAATGAACACACCAAAAAAGATAAGTGAGCACAAGACAATTTGTTTGATTCCTATTGAAATGAATTCAAAATGGAGTTGGAAACTTTGGCAAAGAAAACCACTTCTAAGGAATTGAAACTAGACACATGATTTATTGCTCATACTCAATTATGATTAACAATGAAATTGCAGGTTGAGTGGAAGAGCGCTGCTTCTCAACTCCTGTTGAGAAAGCACGAACTCTGCCTTTTGTCAGAAATGTAAATGTTATATATATATATATATATATATATATATATATATATATATATATATATATATTTATANTTTTTTCCTTAAAATGGATCTAAAAATTACCTCCTTAAATATTAGCATGTGTTTAAGGAACACCCTGTATATTTCACATATAAATTAATAATAGATTTTTCTTTTTGAATTTTGACCTCTAATATTACTCTTACCCCACACCGTGGGGTAAGTGATCATTGGGTCCGAGAATCATGTGCCCTGAGCAAGCGCAGTGAGTCAACAATGACATTCTTCAGCATCTGTGCGGCTAAGATTGAATGAATTATTGATTATTGAATGAATTATTATTATTATCAACTGACTTGTAACGAGTTAGTAATACTTGTCTTCTGATGATTCCAAGTTAGTTTGTGAATCGTGCGTAGTGAGAGTGCACTGATCTGTGAAAAGTATTTTCATTACAACCGCAGATATCCAGTCATGTTCACGACCCATTTGCAATACCGTACCTCCCTTTCATCGTTGCAAATATACACTCTCGAACAAAAGTATTGCATATTTTGTTTCAAGATTATTGTTCATGTTGATTTCTTTTCCCTGAAAAGGTTATTTGTTTTATTGATAAATGTTCGAAGCCCAAAGTATTTTACGTAAATTTCCATTCGGTATAGATGAAAGAACATTTGGACCTAGTCAGTATTGCTGAATAAGTAAAATAATGGTACAGATTACAGACTTTGAATAGTGGGCCTTTGCCACTATTAATGTCTATTGTTTTGCTTATTGTTGTCAAAATGACATTTCGAGTACTTTATGTCTTGATTCTGTAGTTTTTGCATATCCATCAATCGACTATTTCTCGTATTGTAAAGCGATACAATGAGACTGGGGAGTACAAAAGGCGGCTTAGTCAATGACGTAAGAGATTTACAATGCCAAAAGATGAGCAATAACGATAGCTTTGGTGGTGGTTCCATTATGTTGTGGGGCGGCATCAGTTGGGACAGTCGCACCGAGCTTATAGAGGTGAATTTAAGAATGAATGCTGACTGGTACAAACGCAACATTCTTGAAGAGCATGTTTCACCTTACGGCGGCTTCATTGGTCATGACAGTTTCGTGCTGATACATGATAATGCTCGTGCACTTGCTGCAAGAACAGTCACCCAGTATCTTGACGCTGTTGGACTTGAGGCAGTGAAATGACCACCAAAAAAGCCCTGACGCAAATCCCATAGAACATATTTGGGACATCTTAAAAATACATATACAGCTATGAAATCCAGCTCTTAACACTTAACAGGCTATCGTCAGCGCTAGGGGGGAAAACATATTGCTTCAAAGAAATTTCATTTTGTCGTCATTGTTGCTTGATCTTATTAAATATTATTACCAAAACTATAATATTCCATTAATTCTTCTACAAGTGTGTTATAAAGTTTCAACGCCTGGATTATTTGGCAATCAATATACGTTAAATACTTCAGCATATACATTTTAGTGATGAAAACAGCATCAGACAAATAGAAATGAACATGAAAGCAAGGCTCAAAATAAAATATGCATTATATTTGTCTTTGAGTGTATTTATTTTAAGTGTTATTTTATTAAATGTTTCAGGGTTGTAAAGCTTACTCAATGGCATCATGCGAGCACCATACAACCGGAAGCAAACCTCCATGTCCTAAAGATCTGTATCCAACACCAAGATGCCATAAACAATGTGATGCGCATTCTTCTCTCTCCTATGCCTCTGACAAATCATATGGACAAAGTTCTTATCACGTTAGTTCCAGAGAACAACAAATACAATTGGAAATCTTGAAAAACGGTCCGGTTGAGGCTTCATTTACGGTATACGAAGATTTCCCCTCATACAAGAGTGGTACGTATTTAAAAAAAATTATTGTACGAATTTTCAATTATTCCAGAAATATCTTGTATATTAGGTATTAATA